TTACTTTTCTACTTTTCTTGGATCACTCCAGACTAATACTTATGTAACATAGGGTAGACCAGTCAGTGCCTTCAGCCATGACGTATGTTGTTTAAGGTGTGTTACAAATGGGACGTCTAACTAATGGGAGGATACCCTGAAATGCCGTTCAAAGCACAAAGAATCAACAAGCAACATTCCCTACTGTTTCTCTTGTACCCATGTGTGTACCTAATGTTTCTTCCCTATTTCTTCCAAGCCGGATATATTTTGTCGCAGCAATGCCCGCCCAAATCACGCCATTTGTGTTGAAATAAGGTAAATGTTCATTAAAGGAAGCTTTTGCCGTCACTCCCTTGCGGCATTAAACCAGGGACCTTGAACTATCATTAGCATAACAAATTCCGTTTACCGTTGTAAATACGTTGTATAGCATTGTGCATTAGTATAGTTCTACACACAATGTTTTCACCGTTTAGTGTCACTGAATGTTTTCGTGGAAAAGGAGAACTGTCTGACAATCGTCTTCAAGGAAAAGGGCAGTCAACACCTATAGAAGCTAGTGAATTCCCATCTGGTGAACAGTCATGACTAATTTTGAACATTTGGATAGTGTAAGTCTTTTCAGAGATATTTCAATTCGAGTTTGGATCCGTGTGTCATTGTCAGGGAACGTCAAGAATGGCCATTGTACATTGTACCCAAGAGGGTAGAAGGCGTGACGAGCGAACGCTTTAACTCCAGTCTGCACCGACATAAAAACACCCATGTGAGGTTTCTGTAATTTAAACACAGTATGTCCGAATCGTGGTACATTACTCCATGTTTAAGACTGCGGTATGGTAATTCTGAAGAAAGAAGTTGCCGTTATCAAATCCAATAATGTAATGGAGTGTTTCAAACAACAGTGTAATACTACAATACTCTCAAAGAGGTAAGGTGGATTATGCAAGGTCTTTAAGACATGAAGATAAAGATGAAATGATTATACTAGTGAGTGAAAGCGAAAGTGGGTGTAACGTCGCTTCATGCCCCATTACAGCACTGCGTGCCTTGAAGGGACCCGCAAGCAACGGAGCCTGGCTCGACTAAGGGCCGAAACTCTGCACAGCAATTTCAGACGCATTAACACGCTAGACAAACCTAGTAGATTTAAATAATAATAAATCATGGAGTGTGTGTGTGTGTGTGTGTGTGTGTGTGTGTGTGTGTGTGTGTGTGTGTGTGTGTGTGTGTGTGTGTGTGTGTGTGTGTGTGTGTGTGTGTGTGTGTGTGTGTGTGTGTGTTTGTTCAGTACAAGATAGAACTGCATTCTGTGTGAAATTTCTGCTCTTCCGTTCATGTATTCAGTTTTGGATCAGAATATCAAATGTATCATGTCGCGGTATATTGAGGTCCCCTGGACCGGTAGGACGATATGGACACTTCGACGGGCTTTGATAACCGCTCATTATGTTTTGAAAGAAAATCAATATATGTAAAAACTCAAGGCGAGAGAATAATCAGTCTCGATTTTCTGTCGAATAATATTCCATTGGGCGTAAAGGACACCAAGTGTTCGCGAAAGGGTTAACAAGTCCTGCTATACCTGTAGAAAGAAATGTACCAGAATATCCTGAGAGGTTCGTTACCTCTGTAGTCAAACGCTATAACTATTGCTCCAAGATCCGGCTTCATAACTAAACGTCCCCAACATGTCATTGTATGCAAGAAACAGATAATGAGAAGAAATCGATGAAATATGGATATTAGTTCCGCCAATATGACATTAATCAATCAATGCCCTGCTGGAGCAGTGCATAAAACCAGTGTTTACTATCAATTTGATTAGGCCAGGCTTACGCCAAGGGTTAGTCTCTCTGGCCAGGGTATTCCCCACGTGACTTGAATCAGAGAACCGGGTCTAAACCTGCAAACTTTGTTCCTTGACATCATTTGTTGGTTTGATTGATTGAGTATGGCTTTACGCCGCTTTTAGCAATGTTCCAGCAGGATCACAGCGGGGGACACCGGAAGTTGGCCTCACACATCGTACCCATTGGGGAATGGAACCCGGGCCTTCGACGTGGCGAGCGTACGCTTTAACCACTTGCTTACCCCACCACCCCTTATTTGTTGGGGTTACTTCCGACGAAGAAGATCTCCTTAGGGGTGAGAAAACAAAGCGGCTGGATTGCAGGGGAACATGTTCAAACTTCACGTCTGGCGATCTCAGAACCACAGGCGGCCATTGTGATTTCAAGCAAAAAGGTTGATGCTAAAAAGCGAAATGGCAGAAAAATGAAATATATAATTGATGTACACTTGATGCAAGTTACAATGCATAACCGGGAACATTAAAACAATGGTAACGATAAAAAAAGGGCAACTTAACACCATGAGACGACCTGTCAAGGTTATGTAACATGTCAATCGAGTCGTGCCAATTTACACTTGTCAGAGGGGTACACAATGTACGTGATCTAGACTACCAGTTGTCGGACTTCCATTTTGTGGAAGCCTCGATGACTGAGTTAGTTAGATCGCTGACTTTGTGTGCTGGCAATAAGGTGCCTCACTCTGAGAGTGTGAGTTCGAATCCCGGATGGGACTCAATCCATAAAAGTACAAGAATTTGTACTTTTCCAAGAAAGTATCATCCCAAATATAGTAGTTGTTACATTTGACCACTTTCTAAAAGGCATTGTGTATTCATGATACCCTGCTGCTGGTGCTCGGCATTGGCGTATTAAACTTCAGAATATTTGGAAAGATGTACCATTTAGATTGTTTAACTTTGCCTAAAATGGCTATAAGGTGGACAAATTAACAAAAAGTGATATTCATTTTCGATATGGTTTAAGTAACAAACTGGATATCCAACCTAGTTCTATTTTGGAAGCTTGACCACTGTTGCTGCTAGGTGGTTATTATTATCTCTGTCTTTAATGCATTGTATTTTATATTGCCATTGAAATTGTACTGTCTTTCAATTTTGCGCCAAACAGGGTAACAACAAGCACCATCTTTTAACATCTTTTGGTATGACACACCCGGGGATCGAATGCCAGACCTTCCGCTCTCCGCGCGGGCGCTCTACCACCAGACCACGGAGGCGGTCCTGGAAGTTTTATTATTGAGCTTACAATACACCCGTAAAGTTGAAAACATTATCTCCTAACTCAAGCATTTCTAAATCTGTCTAAATGGTGATCCATCCTCACATATCAGGGTATTATTATTCAAGTTTTCCTTACCAGCCCCCAGGAGTCACACATGTGCAACAATTGTACCCTTGGATTCACATGTTAAAGACCAGTTATTCAAAAACTAATTACTTTAAAATATAACGGATTGTAATACACCAAATGAGACAAACAAGCCTCTCTCTACCTGTCAGCAATAGTCTCTACACTGTCCAATAAACATATCCTCCAAAGCTTCAAATGAAATACTACAAGGAAGAATTGGAGTTAATTTCTGAATTGAATCTGGTATTTGATTGTCATAGTTTAGAAGTCAATGACAAACAAATATTTGTCCGCGCGATTTCTCTTAAACTATTCAGTGGATTCATCTCAAACTTAGTACATATAATCTGTGTCATATGGAGGGGAGCAGTCAAAAGAAAAACAATGTTTTTATTAATTTTCCATTTTTTATGAATTTTTCAAACCCTAAGTAAGGCTAACCCTATCATAGATATTTAATTTGTAACTACTGACACACTAGGCGGGTCGGGTGTATTTGTGAGCCACGCTCACTTTTGCACTTTTTACACATAAAACATCTGATGTATTGATTCATCTTGAACATAAAGAGCAATACATGTACACTTACTAAAATATCATCTAACCCATTCGTGTTAATAATGATTAAAATACAATGCGTCTATCAATAGTAAAGAAAGTTTAAATTATAATTTAGTCACAATATGGATGATATGTTGCCGCTGTGACCTGTAATTTTAACTCACTCACCATAAACACCTCCCCTCTGTTAGTTCACTCATTCTATGGTTAAGCTGAATAAACAATATCGCTGAATTACAATACAAGCAACACGGATATTTTGTCACTGATACCTTATACTTATAAGCGGATAATTGTTATTAGACCAATAACACTGATGACGTACACACATGCGTCATTCTTAATATACTGATAATCACTAATACCCGCTTGACCATCATGTTCGCTATAGAGAGATGAAGTGTTTCAGTTACAATTTCATGTTCACATATGTTTAGCACAGACACAAAAACATGGACCATGCTGTACACTCATAAATAAACATTAAGTTACCGCTTCTTTCCGCCAGCAAGACAGTACTATAAGAGCTCACTGGTCTGAGCATGTGCAAAGCCATACATAATGTCACCTTCCGTCTAGATCTAAAAGCATGACCATGATAGTTTTATCATGAACGATTAAAAAGTACATATGTCAAGACTGGCATGCCCCATTAACAGGTGGTTCTAAACACTGTCCTATTAACCATTCCTTTTATGTGCAGCCTTATCTAAAGCATATTAGAGTTCATAAGTTCGTTAGAAAAAAAAGAAAAGAAAAAGAAAGAGTTTTTAAATCACGTAACTAATGATATGTAGGAAGAGTATCATGGGCTGCTTGTCTGTGAGGCTTATGCAACTTACGGATGTAAGGTAGTTGTTGAAATATATTTTTTAAAGTACACCCCATATTACATAAATATTATACTAATGTCTGTTGATGACATTAAAATTGTTAGACATTTGACCATGTTTGTTTTCATGCAGTACAATTATTAAACAATAGTGTCAATGAGACTCAAATAATGCATGTTGTCTGCACTGCAGCTCTGTATGGGTCAGTGGTCTGTACCCATGCTGAATAAAGCTAAGGATGATTGATAGCGGGCCAGGTGTTATTTACAAAGGCAAAAGCATATTTCCTAGAACTGGCTTCATTGATTTCCTTGAAACTACCACTGCTGTAGCTGGAAGGCCAACGTTGGCTTTCCCGGAATATTCCATGACTAAGATTCATTGTTAGCCTTTAGAATAGACACGGGTGGAGACTCGATGGGGAGTTAAAGTTGAAGGACGTTGGGAAGGGGGTAAGGTACGTTCGATAAGCAAGTGATTAACTCAGGGGCTCACCACACCGAAGACCTAAGTCAGATTTCCAGACAGGTACGTGTGAATCCTCAGGAGCCCCCAACCTTCCGAGAACTGTTTTATGTGCTTGACCATATTTGGAGGTGCATCTGTTTGTCAGCCAATCGGAACATTGTTATTGAAGGGGGGCCTTGGAAACCTACGGAGTATACAGTCCACGACATACGAGGCCAAGCACATAAGCGATCTCACCCGGTTTTCAGGGTTCTTCAGCACATGAGATGGGGTTCTCTCAAGCATCTCTCTTGTCCAAGATCGGGCTTGGACTTTGTGTGGCTGGCCTGATTTTTGACCTCATTGGCTTCCCATCACCGGGTTGGGCGACATTCACTATAAATTCAGTAAAATTTTCGGTTGGATTGTTCCAGATATGTGCTTATTCATCCGGTTCATTAGAGTGTATACAAATACCTGGCGTCATCCGTAAGTTGCATTTTTATTGAGTGAGTGAGTGAGTGAATTTGGCTTAACGCCGCTGTGGACAGTGCTTGAGTTAGAGCACGGCGTGTACTGTTTCATACACATTTGTATTCCTCTGCTTCAAACCAGTGTTATTTCAACTTTCATTTCTAATATTTCTCTGATTATCGTATTGTTGTAACCGGGTTTTCCATGGCCTTATCCATTATTGTATACAGATGACACCAAGACGGCTACATAGTGTGAGGCTTGTGTTTATTTGTGAATAATCGCGATAGACACCATGTAATAAGAAACAACAGATAATATAGTATATGCATATTATAACATAATATATATCATGTAATCATCAAAGCAATACGATCATTTCTGTTATAACTTACAACTAGTGAGTGGGTGAGTACGGTTTTACGCCGCTTTTAGCAATATTCCAGCAATATCACGGCGGGGGACACCAGAAATGAGCTTCACACATTGTACCCATGTCGGGAATCGAACCCGGGTCTTCGGCGTGACGAGCGAACGCTTTGACCACTAGGCTACCCGACCGCCCCTACTTACAACTAAGTATTATTAGATGATATGATAGAAATGTCTTACAATACATATTAAGTAAAATGGTTTCACCTACATGTGTATATGCATACCCTATGTGTGGCACAAGGGTGTGAAACGTAATACCCTTCAAATGTCACCGTCTATGATATGTCCTGCAGAAGAAACAGCAGGAATAATTACTTACGCATTATATGTACATGATATGTAAATACTTAGAGTGACCTAATACAATGAAATAAATAACAAAATGAATAGCTTGTGCACTGACATAATTGTAGATATAACTTAGCATGTATACAAGATACTATTAAAATACACTTTTGCTTAGGTTAAAGTTCAGCCTCTAAAACGCATTCATTTAAAACATCAACTAAATAAAAATATATAATTTAATGTAAATATGATAAGTACTTCTTAGATGCTTTATTATAATGCATTATCTTTGATTACTATTTAATCCTATTTAGAAGTAAAGATAAGTCTTATAAACTAACCGTTAGTGGTGATCTACAAATACTCCCAATGCAGCGCATAGTGAAAGTGACAATATGGAGTTAGTCAGAGCAAGAAGGTAGAGTTTGAATTTGGCCAATCACAGGGATAGCTTGGGATGTGATTGATCACTAGAGGGCCGGACATAGAGAAATGGGATAAAAACAAACCTCTGTTAAATTATATTCAACAAAAACAAAACAAAAACTTGAAATAGGTTTATTTACAAAAAAGCTCAAATACATATATATACACCTGCTACATTGTTTTAGGTTTTTTATTACTATAAGTTAACTGCAAAAGAAAGTAATATACATCAATGTTTGATTGTGGCTAAAAATGAAACAAACAAGAGATGGCTATTACAAACGTTATCACAACGTAACTCGGCTGAAAACAGTCAAAGAAACACTGAAAACTTGTGATGCAAAACCCAACTTGACAGACTGTGTGTATTGAGGCTGCTGTGCGACAAGAGCTTCCTCACCCTCAATACTCGATACACCTGGCACCAGGTGATTTCCACCTGTTTTTTAAACTGAAAGAACACCTTCGGGGACGACAACGATGACCTCAAAACGGCCGTGAATGGGTTCTTCAGGGTGGCTTCAGAAAACTTTTTCCTGACTGGAAGGGGCGGTCGGGTAGCCTAGTGGTTAAAGTGGTCGCTCGTCACGCTGAAGTCCCGAGGTCGATTCCCGACATGGGTACAATGTGTGAAGCCCATTTCTAGCGTCCCCCGCCGTGATATTGCTGGAATATTGCTGAAAGCGGCGAAACACCATACTCACTCACTCCTGACTGGAATTGAAAAGCATCATTATCGATATGAGAAATGTATTGAAAAGCAGGGTGATTATGATGAAAAGTAAAATGTAAAACACTTTTAAAAACATGCTGGTTTTGTTTGCTAGGCTTAGAACTTTTGGACCAGCTCTCGTACATACATATAGAGTAGCATTATATTTTGAAACGACATTAGCTGCAGTTATATATTTTTCAGCTGACTGGTACGACGCAGTGAGAGCCCTGTCCATAGTTGGGTTTCTGCTGGGACTGGCTTGCGTGGTTGTGTTGTGCATCTACGTGCTGGTGAAGAACGACTTGAAGCCGTTACAGATCTGTGCACTGGTGCTGGCCTTCCTCTCAGGTAGGTTTTCATCATACACTTAGGCGAAATGTCGAAATAAGGTGTTTGGGTATGTGACAAATTACATGAAGGCAAACAACATCAGGAGTATACAATGTCTAATATACATAATATGTAAAATCAACACTCATTCCAGTCATTTCTGTGACCGACATGGATTTGCAGTTAGTGTAACACAGTTATAATAAGTAGTGTTGTTTCTAGTAAAGTTAACTTTGTATTTGTTTCACTTACTTGAATGTGGACCCGTGAAGATTCGGGGTAGAATACGTCTCCAGGAACCGATGCTTGCCGTAAGAGGCGACGTTGCTTCTCGTCAGAGGTGACTTACGGGATCGGATGGTCAGGCTCGCTGACTTGGTTGATGCACGTCATCGTATCCCAATTGCGTGAATCGATGGTTATGATGTCAATCACTGGATTGTCTGGTCCAGACTCGATTCTTTACAGACCGCCATCATATAGCTGGAATATTGCTGAGTACGGCGTTTAACATCAAACAAACAAACTTGTATGTGATCGATTTCATGATGTCAATCCCTGGATTGTCTTGTCCAGACTCGATTATTTACAGACCGCTGCCATATAGCTGGAATATTGCTGTTTGTGGCATTAAACAACAAACAAACAAGAAAACTTGTATGTAATTCAGTTTCAGTTGTATATTCAGAGCAAATGTTTTAATGCATAATTCATTCAACTTTCAGCAACTTTCATCCTCGCTGGGGCGATCCTTTATGCAGACAAGCAGGAACACAGAAACCTAGGCTGGTCGTTTGCTCTCACAGTTGTCGGGGCGGTGTTGCTCCTGATAGGGGGGATTGTCCTGACGGTGGACAAAATAATTGGATGACTCAGGGCCGGGAGTGGGTGAAGTGGATGGCTGTATTCTCATTCAAACTAAACGAAGCCAAAAATATTTACTCTTTGTAGACAACGATTGTTCTTTACTCGTATAACTGTTAATACGGTTGTCTTATACACAGGAGCAGTCGGGTAGCCCAGTGGTTAAAGCGGTCATTTTTTACGAGTCTACACATGTAGATAAACATATGTCATGGTTAACTTTTAGTGAGAAAATATGCTGAAACGAGAAAAACCTTGTCCATTTGCGTAGTTTTCCTTTGTTTACATCACGTGCTGTCATCGAAGCCAGACGGAGTGTGAGAGTTACGTTCACCTTGATGAATAAATATATTTTGTTGTGTACCTCACAGTTGCAATGTTTTAGTAGCATATCTATATAATTATGCAAAACAATATGTAAAGCCCCCGGCTGTTCTGATTTTAGCGTTTGTTCTAAAACGAGAGAAAAGTCTGGTCATGTGACAGGCTATGCAAATTAGCCCGTGGCAGTGGTGTTATGCGAAGTTATGTTACTTCTAAAAAAGACGATTAATTAAAAACTAGACGTAAATTTTAAGACGTTTGCATATATTGTCTTAGACATTTTTTTTATAAATTAAGTTCAGGTGAGTAGTTGTAATATTTTCATTCCAAAGCTGAAATATAGATATTTTGAAATTGTGTTATTCATGATGTAGTCATTTCTTTCTGGACGTATTTTTCCTTAATTGAGAGTCATATACGCAAGAATTCTGCATCAGGGGAAACCCTGGTTAGGGTTTGAAAAATTCATTATAACAATGGAAAATTATTAAAATCATTTTTTTTTCCTTTTGACTGCACCCCTCCATATGACACAGATTATATGTACTAAGTTTGAGATGAATCCACTGAATAGTTCAAGAGAAATCGCGCAGACAAAGCTTTCGGACGGACGGACGGACGGACGGACGGACGGAATAATAAAAAAATGGTGAAATCTACCCAGCTCTCTTTCTTAAGCTTGTTACATGGGTGATACCATTTTACTTAATCAAGGGTACAGGGTGCTATTTACTGATGCAGCCAGCCATAACGAGTGTTGTTTTAACGGATCTGCGTTTTGGCAGGTTTACGTTTTGGGAAGATACCTTAAAGCGTTCGCTCGTCACGCCGAAGACCCGGGTTCGATCCCCGACATGGGGACAATGTTTGAAGCCCATTTCTAGTGTCACCCGCCGTGATTTTGCTGGAATATTTGCGGCGTTAAACCATACTCACTCACTGTAATATGCATATGTAACTACTGCTTATTTGAGTAAGAATGGGAGAGCGAGACAGACAGAAAAATAAGATATACATATATGTTTCATGGCAATATTACAATAGTTAAGTTCATCATAAACACAGAATGTTCGGAGTGTTGCTCATTGAAAAATAAAGAATTTTAAACCTATCTTTAATATCATATTTATTTGGGCGTTATGCTAGCAGACTTCTCAATTTCATGGCCTCGGGTGTAGACCTATATCTGTGATTACGTTATATTTACGTTACAACGCACTGGGCGCATGTTTAATTGGTGTATTTTATATGTGTATTTTTGTAAATGGTGTGCACAGTGCATCTCAGGATATTCCCGGATCCCCTTGCTTGTCACGTGAGCTGACTAATTCGGATCGGATGGTTACAATGTGTGACCTCGCTGATTGTGCATCAGCGTGACCCCACGACAAAGGTCGTTGCTCATGGAACAAATCATTCGTCACCACTCGCCTCTTTCCGTAACCTGCAAGAAGACTCGTCACCCTATCGATGAATGTTATGTGCAAACATACGACAAACCAATCAGAATGCGCGCATGGTTTCAAAATCTTCGTCAAAGAATCCCTCAGAAATATTTTTTGATTTTACATATGTCTTGCATCTAAAAATATACACAAGACACAGTTACATGTGTTCAATCATACTGTATAATTCCGCATGTCCCGATGTGCTTTAAATTGCATCTGAAATATATATAATATATGGGGAAATACATGTTAACCATTACGCAACGTCTTGACAGTTGTTTTAGGTATGCCCGTTTGCGCTAAGACGGAACCCGGTCGCAAAAATGGCCACGAGAGGGGCACGAGTCGCTATTCGGCTTGTCCCGGAATAACACGAGTTGGTCACGAATGGGAGCAAATCAGTTGTTTGGGGACTGCCGTGATATAGCTGGAACATCGCTGTTACAGCGTTAAACAACATTCGCTCACGCACCTCTGTGTGTGTGTGCGTGCGTGCGTGCGTGCAGCCTGTGTTCTTCGTGGCGGGGTATAAGGAACTTATTCTTCCGCTCAGATTTGTCTTTCCTTCCTGGGCGGGATAAATAGTATTTTATCACGATCACGTGAACCAATCAGATCTCATTATCCTGACATGGAGGTAAGATAACTATGAGTGATGGTGGCTAAAATGAATTTAAACAAGCAAGAAGTGGGTATTCGATGTTGATGTATTTGAGACGGGTATCACAGTTACGTTTTATTGTCTCAAACGCAAATGAAAAGTGAAGTCCCTGTCAAAAAAGTGAAATTAGAAAACAGGACAGAAAAGTTTACAGTTAAGGAAAGTGATAAATGATAGATGCGAGTTGAACGAGCTGATGTCACTATGCGTCACAAATGGACTTATGTAGATTTCTTTATATTTTTATTCCCCCAAGACCACCAACGATACGTCAAAACTGTACACCAATACACACAGTCTGTCACAACCAACTACAAGCTGCATGCACAACCATGGGGTCTAGCGTCTCGACATTTCATTTTACATGGAATATAAGGCTGTAAATAATATCAGTAATTTCGTCCGCTAACTCTGGATTTTAAAGAGGCAGTCGTTCTTTTGTTTTAGCGATCTCGATCTTTTGTAAATAGTCAAATACAATAGCGTGAAAAGTGCTACATGTCAACGATCTGCAATAGGCCGATATCCTCAGACATAAAATATCTGAATTAACATACCAGAGACTCTTCAGCCAGCTAAAGACACTCGTCCAGGAGAGTCTCCATTAAAAGATCACCTTCGCCAGGAACTCAAGCAAATTCCTGGATGCAGCAGGCTTCTATGCAAGGTTGGGATAAACAAGGAATATTCAGAGACATTCAATTCAATTAATTAATCAGTGCTACTACCAGTGCTAATAAAGAAGTTTTATATATTTATTATTTATTATATATTATATCTTTGTACAAGTACATAAAGTACGAGATTACTTTTCTACTTTTCTTGGATCACTCCAGTCTAATACTTATGTAACATAGGGTAGACCAGTCAGTGCCTTCAGCCATGACGTATGTTGTTTAAGGTGTGTTACAAATGGGACGTCTAACTAATGGGAGGATACCCTGAAATGCCGTTCAAAGCACAAAGAATCAACAAGCAACATCCCCTACTGTTTCTTTTGTACCCATGTGTGTACCGAATATTTCTTCCCTATTTCTTCCAAGCCGGATATATTTTGTCGCAGCAATGCCCGCCCAAATCACGCCATTTGTGTTGAAATAAGGTTAATGTTCATTAAAGGCAGCTTTTGCCGTCACTCCCTTGCGGCATTAAACCAGGGACCTTGAACTATCATTAGCATAACAAAACCCGTTTACCGTTGTAAATACGTTGTATAGCGTTGTGCATTAGTATAGTTCTACACACAATTTTTTCACCGTTTAGTGTCACTGAATGTTTTCGTGGAAAAGGAGAACTGTCTGACAATCGTCTTCAAGGAAAAAGGTAGTCAACACCTATAGAAGCTAGTGAATTCCCATCTGGTAAACAGACATGACTAATTTTGAACATTTGGATAATGTAAGTCTTTTCAGAGATATTTCAATTCGAATTTGGATCCGTGTGTCATTGTCAGGGAACGTCAAGAATGGCCATGTCACATTGTACCCAAGAGGGTAGAAGGCGTGACGAGCGAACGCTTTAACTCCAGTCTGCACCGACATAAAAACACCCATGTGAGGTTTCTGTAATTTAAACACAGTATGTCCGAATCGTGGTACATTACTCCATGTTTAAGACTGCGGTATGGTAATTCTGAAGAAAGAAGTTGCCGTTATCAAATCCAATAATGTAATGGAGTGTTTCAAACAACAGTGTAATACTACAATACTCTCAAAGAGGTAAGGTGGATTATGCAAGGTCTTTCAGACATGAAGATAAAGATGAAATGATTATACTAGTGAGTGAATGCGAAAGTGGGTGTAACGTCGCTTTATGCCCCATTACAGCACTGCGTGCCTTGAAGGGACCCGCAAGCAACGGAGCCTGGCTCGACTAAGCGTGTGTGTGTGTGTGTGTGTGTGTGTGTGTGTGTGTGTGTGTGTGTGTGTGTGTGTGTGTGTGTGTGTGTCTTCAGTACAAGATAGAACTGCATTCTGTGTGAATTTTCTGCTCTTCCGTTCATGTATTCAGTTTTGGATCAGAATATCAAATGTATCATCGCGGTATATTGAGGTCCCCTGGCCCGGTGGGACGATATGGACACTTCGACGGGCTTTGATAACCGCTCATTATGTTTTGAAAGTAAATCAATATATGTAAAAACTCAACGCAAAAGAATAATCAGTCTCGATTATCTGCCGAATAATATTCCATTGGGCGTAAAGGACACCAAGTGTTCGCGAAAGGGTTAACAAGTCCTGCTATACCTGTAGAAAGAAATGTACCAGAATATCCTGAGAAGTTCGTTACCTCTGTAGTCAAACGCTATAACTATTGCTACACGATCCGGCTTCATAACTAAACGTCCCCAGAATCATATAACCCAACATGTCATTGTATGCAAGAAACAGATAATGAGAAGAAATTGATGAAATATGGATATTAGTTCCGCCAATATGACATTAATCAATCAATGCCCTGCTGGAGCAGTGCATAAAACCAGTGTTTACTATCAATTTGTTTAGGCCAGGCTTACGCGTAGGGTTAGTCTCGCTCTCCAGGGTATTCCCCACATGACTTGAATCAGAGAACCGGGTCTAAACCTGCAAACTTTGTTCCTTGACATCATTTGTTGGTTTGATTGATTGAGTATGGCTTTACGCCGTTTTTAGCAATGTTCCAGCAGTATCAATGGAACCCAGGCCTTCGACGTGGCGAGCGTACGCTTTAACCACTAGCCTACCCCACCACCCCTTATTTGTTGGGGTTACTTCCGACGAAGAAGATCTCCTTAGGGGTCAGAAAACAAAGCGGCTGGATTGCAGGGGAACATGTTCAAACTTCACGTCTGGCGATCTCAGAACCACAGGCGGCCAATGTGATTTCAAGCAAAAAGGTTGATGCTAAAAAGCGAAATGGCAGAAAAATGAAATATAAACTTGATGTACACTTGATGCAAGTTACAATGCATAACCGGGAACATTAAAACAATGGTAACGATAAAAAAAAAAGGGCAACTTAACACCATGAGACGACCTGTCAAGGTTATGTAACATGTCAATCGAGTCGTGCCAATTTACACTTGTCAGAGGGGTACACAATGTACGTGATCTAGACTACCAGTTGTCGGATTTCCATTTTGTGGAAGCCTCGATGACTGAGTTAGTTAGATCGCTGACTTTGTGTGCTGGCAATTAGGTGCCTCACTCTGAGAGTGTGAGTTCGAATCCCGGATGGGACTCAATCCATAAAAGTACAAGAATTTGTACTTTTCCAAGAAAGTGTTATCCCAAATATAGTAGTTGTTACATTTGACCACTTTCTAAAAGGCATTGTGTATTCATGATACCCTGCTGCTGGTTCTCGGCATTGATGTATTAAACTTCAGAATATTTGGAAAGATGTACCATTTAGATTGTTTAACTTTGCCTAAAATGGCTATAAGGTGGACAAATTAACAAAAAGTGATATTCATTTTCGATATGGTTTAAGTAACAAACTGGATATCCAACCTAGTTCTATTTTGGAAGCTTGACCACTGTTGCTGCTAGGTGGATATTATTATCTCTGTCTTTAATGCATTGTATTTTATATTGCCATTGAAATTGTACTGTCTTTGAATTTTGCGCCAAACAGGGTAACAACAAGCACCATCTTTTAACATCTTTTGGTATGACACACCCGGGGATGGAATGCCAGACCTTCCGCTCTCCGCGCGGGCGCTCTACCACCAGACCATGGAGGCGTTCCTGGAAGTTTTATTATTGAGCTTACAATACACCCGTTAAGATGAACACATTATCTCCTAACTCAAGCATTTCTAAATCTGTCTAAATGGTGATCCATCCTCACATATCAGGGTATTATTATTCACGTTTTCCTTACCAGCCCCCAGGAGTCACACGTGCAACAATTGTACCCTTGGATTCACATGTTAAAGACCAGTTATTCAAAAACTAAATACTTTAAAATATAACGGATTGTAATACACCAAATGAGACAAACAAGCCTCTCTCTACCTGTCAGCAATAGTCTCTACACTGTCCAATCAACATATCATTCAAAGCTTCAAATGAAATACTACAAGGAAGAATTGGAGTTAATTTCTGAATTGAACCTGGTATTTGATTGTCATAGTTTAGAAGTCAATTACAAACAAATATTTGTCCGCGCGATTTTTCTTAAACTATTCAGTGGATTCATCTCAAACTTAGTACATATAATCTGTGTCATATGGAGGGGTGTAGTCAAAAGAAAAAAAATGTTTTTATTAATTTCCATTTTTTTATGAATTTTTCAAACCCTAACGTCCGTCCGAAAACTTTGTCCGCGCGATTTCTCTTAAACTATTCAGTGGATTCATCTCAAACTTAGTACATATAATCTGTGTCATATGGAGGGGAGCAGTCAAAAGAAAAACAATGTTTTTATTAATTTTCCATTTTTTATGAATTTTTCAAACCCTAAGTAAGGCTAACCCTATCATAGATATTTTATTTGTAACTACTGTCACACTAGGCGGGTCGGGCGTATTAGTGAGCCACGCTCACTTTTGCACTTGTTACATATAAAACATCTGATGTATTGATTCATCTTGAACATAAAGAGCAATACATGTACACTTACTAAAATATCATCTAACCCACTCATGTTAATAATGATTAAAATGCAATGCGTCTATCAATAGCAAAGAAAGTTTAGATTGGAAAGATTAGTGAATTATTTAGTCACAATATGGATGATATGTTGCCGCTGTGACCTGTAATTTTAACTCACTCACCATAAACACCTCCCCTCTGTTAGTTCACTCATTCTATGGTTAAGCTGAATAAACAATATCACTGAATTACAATACAAGCAACACGGATATTATGTCACTGATACCTTATACTTATAAGCGGATAATTGTTACTAGACCAATAACACTGATGAAGTACACACATGCGTCATTCTTAATATACTGATAATCACTAATACCCGCTTGACCATCATGTTCGCTATAGAGAGATGAAGTGTTTCAGTTACAATTTCATGTTCACATATGTTTAGCAAAAACATGGACCATGCTGTACACTCATAAATAAACATTATACATTTCAATCTCTTTGTCAAGTTACCGCTTCTTTCCGCCAGCAAGACAGTACTATAAGAGCTCACTGGTCTGAGCATGTACATGGCCATATGTAATGTTACCTTCCGTCTAGATCTAAGAAGCATGACCATGATAGTTTTATCATGAACGATTTAAACGTACATATGTCAAGACTGGCATGTCCCATTAACAGGTGGTTCTAAACACTGCCCTGTTTACCATTCCTTTTATGTGCAACCTTATCTAAAGCATATTAGAGTTCATAAGTTCGTTAGAAAAAAAAAGGAAGAAAAAGAAAGAGTTTTTAAATCACGTAACTAATGATATGTAGGAAGAGTATCATGGGCTGCTTGTCTGTGAGGCTTATGCAACTTACGGATGTAAGGTAGTTGTTGAAATATATTTTTTAAAGTACACCCCATATTACATAAATATTATACTAATGTCTGTTGATGACATTAAAATTGTTAGACATTTGACCATGTTTGTTTTCATGCAGTACAATTATTAAACAATAGTGTCAATGAGACTCAAATAATGCATGTTGTCTGCACTGCAGCTCTGTATGGGTCAGTGGTCTGTACCCATGCTGAATAAAGCTAAGGATGACTGATGGCGGGCCAGGTGTTATTTACAAAGGCAAAAGCATATTTCCTAGAACTGGCTTCATTGATTTCCTTGAAACTACCACTACTGTAGCTGGAAGGCCAACGTTGGCTTTCCCGGAATATTCCATGACTAAGATTCATTGTTAGCCTTTAGAATAGACACGGGTGGAGACTCGATGGGGAGTTAAAGTTGAAGGACGTTGGGAAGGGGGTAAGGTACGTTCGATAAGCAAGTGATTAACTCAGGGGCTCACCACACCGAAGACCTAAGTCAGATTTCCAGACAGGTACGTGTGAATCCTCAGGAGCCCCCAACCTTCCGAGAACTGTTTTATGTGCTTGACCATATTTGGAGGTGCATCTGTTTGTCAGCCAATCGGAACATTGTTATTGAAGGGGGGCCTTGGAAACCTACGGAGTATACAGTCCACGACATACGAGGCCAAGCACATAAGCGATCTCACCCGGTTTTCAGGGTTCTTCAGCACATGAGATGGGGTTCTCTCAAGCATCTCTCTTGTCCAAGATCGGGCTTGGACTTTGTGTGGCTGGCCTGATTTTTGACCTCATTGGCTTCCCATCACCGGGTTGGGCGACATTCACTATAAATTCAGTAAAATTTTCGGTTGGATTGTTCCAGATATGTGCTTATTCATCCGGTTCATTAGAGTGTATACAAATACCTGGCGTCATCCGTAAGTTGCATTTTTATTGAGTGAGTGAGTGAGTGAATTTGGCTTAACGCCGCTGTGGACAGTGCTTGAGTTAGAGCACGGCGTGTACTGTTTCATACACATTTGTATTCCTCTGCTTCAAACCAGTGTTATTTCAACTTTCATTTCTAATATTTCTCTGATTATCGTATTGTTGTAACCGGGTTTTCCATGGCCTTATCCATTATTGTATACAGATGACACCAAGACGGCTACATAGTGTGAGGCTTGTGTTTATTTGTGAATAATCGCGATAGACACCATGTAATAAGAAACAACAGATAATATAGTATATGCATATTATAACATAATATATATCATGTAATCATCAAAGCAATACGATCATTTCTGTTATTACTTACAACTAGTGAGTGGGTGAGTACGGTTTTACGCCGCTTTTAGCAATATTCCAGCAATATCACGGCGGGGGACACCAGAAATTAGCTTCACACATTGTACCCATGTCGGGAATCGAACCCGGGTCTTCGGCGTGACGAGCGAACGCTTTGACCACTAGGCTACCCGACCGCCCCTACTTACAACTAAGTATTATTAGATGATATGATAGAAATGTCTTACAATACATATTAAGTAAAATGGTTTCACCTACATGTGTATATGCATACCCTATGTGTGGCACAAGGGTGTGAAACGTAATACCCTTCAAATGTCACCGTCTATGATATGTCCTGCAGAAGAAACAGCAGGAATAATTACTTACGCATTATATGTACATGATATGTAAATACTTAGAGTGACCTAATACAATGAAATAAATAACAAAATGAATAGCTTGTGCACTGACATAATTGTAGATATAACTTAGCATGTATACAAGATACTATTAAAATACACTTTTGCTTAGATTAAAGTTCAGCCTCTAAAACGCATTCATTCAAAACATCAACTTAATAAAAATATATAATTTAATGTAAATATGATAAGTACTTCTTAGATGCTTTATTATAATGCATTATCTTTGATTACTATTTAATCCTATTTAGAAGTAAAGATAAGTCTTATAAACTAACCGTTAGTGGTGATCTACAAATACTCCCAATGCAGCGCATAGTGAAAGTGACAATATGGAGTTGGTCAGAGCAAGAAGGTAGAGGTTGAATTTGGCCAATCACAGGGATAGCTTGGGATGTGATTGATCACTAGAGGGCCGGACATAGAGAAATGGGATAAAAACAAACCTCTGTTAATTTATATTCAACAAAAACAAAACAAAAACTTGAAATAGGTTTATTTACAAAAAAGCTCAAATACATATATATACACCTGCTACATTGTTTTAGGTTTTTTATTACTATAAGTTAACTGCAAAAGAAAGTAATATACATCAATGTTTGATTGTGGCTAAAAATGAAACAAACAAGAGATGGCTATTACAAACGTTATCACAACGTAACTCGGCTGAAAACAGTCAAAGAAACACTGAAAACTTGTGATGCAAAACCCAACTTGACAGACTGTGTGTATTGAGGCTGCTGTGCGACAAGAGCTTCCTCACCCTCAATACTCGATACACCTGGCACCAGGTGATTTCCACCTGTTTTTTAAACTGAAAGAACACCTTCGGGGACGACAACGATGACCTCAAAACGGCCGTGAATGGGTTCTTCAGGGTGGCTTCAGAAAACTTTTTCCTGACTGGAAGGGGCGGTCGGGTAGCCTAGTGGTTAAAGTGGTCGCTCGTCACGCTGAAGTCCCGAGGTCGATTCCCGACATGGGTACAATGTGTGAAGCCCATTTCTAGCGTCCCCCGCCGTGATATTGCGAGAATATTGCTGAAAGCGGCGACACACCATACTCACTCACTCCTGACTGGAATTGAAAAGCATCATTATCGATATGAGAAATGTATTGAAAAGCAGGGTGATTATGTTGAAAAGTAAAATGTAAAACACTTTTTATAAAATGCTGGTTTTGTTTGCTAGGCTTAGAACTTTTGGACCAGCTCTCGTACATACATATAGAGTAGCCTTATATTTTGAAACGACATTAGCTGCAGTTATATATTTTTCAGCTGACTGGTACGACGCAGTGAGGGCCCTGTCCATAGTTGGGTTTCTGCTGGGACTGGCTTGCGTGGTTGTGTTGTGCATCTACCTGCTGGTGATGAACGGCTTGAAGTTGTTACAGATCAGTGCACTGGTGCTGGCCTTCCTCTCAGGTAGGTTTTCATCCTACACTTAGGCGAAATGTGGAAATAAGGTGTTTGGGTATGTGACAAATTACATGAAGGCAAACAACATCAGGAGTATACAATGTCTAATATACATAATATGTAAAATTAATACTCATTCCAGTCATTTCTGTGACCGACAGGGATTTGCAGTTAGTGTAACACAGTTATAATAAGTAGTGTTGTTTCTAGTAAAGTTAACTTTGTATTTGTTTCACTTACTTGAATGTGGCCCCGTGAAGATCCGGGGTAGAATACGTCTCCAGGAACCGATGCTTGCCGTAAGAGGCGACGTTGCTTCTCGTAAGAGGTGACTTACGGGATCGGGTGGTCAGGCTCGCTGACTTGGTTGATGCACGTCATCGTATCCCAATTGCGTGAATCGATGGTTATGATGTCAGTCACTGGATTTTTGTCTGGTCCAGACTCGATTCTTTACAGACCGCCATCATATAGCTGGAATATTGCTGAGTACGGCGTTTAACATCAAACAAACAAACTTGTATGTGATCGATTTCATGATGTCAATCCCTGGATTGTCTTGTCCAGACTCGATTATTTACAAACCGCTGCCATATAGCTGGAATATTGCTGTTTGTGGCATTAAACAACAAACAAACAAGAAAACTTGTATGTAATGTTTTAATGCATAATTCACTCTATTTTCAGCAATTTTCATCCTTACTGGGCGATCTTTTATGCTGACAAGCGGGAACACAGACATCTCGGCTGGTCGTTTGCTCTCACAGTTGTCGGGGCGGTGTTGCTCCTGATAGGGGGGATTGTCCTGACGGTGGACAAAATAATGGGATGTCTCGGGGCCGGGAGTAGGTGAAGTGGATGGCTGTATTCTCATTCAAACTAAACGCGATAGAGAAAGAAGCCAAAAATAACTACTGTATGTAGACAACGATTGTTTTTTACTGGTATAACTGTTTATACGGTTGTCTTATACGCAGGAGCAGTCGGGTAGCCTAGTTGTTAAAGCGTTCGCTCGTCACGCCGAAGACCCGGGTTCGATCCCCGACATGGGGACAATGCTTGAAGCCCATTTCTGGTGTCACCCGCCGTGATTTTGTTGGAATATTTGCGGCGTTAAACCATACTCACTCACTGTAATACGCATATGTAACTACTGCTTATTTGAATGAGAATAGGAGAGCGAGACAGACAGACAAATAAGATATACATATATGTTTCATGGCAATAGTACAATAGTTAAGTTCATCATAAAAACAGAATGTTTGAAGTGTTGCTCATTGAAAAATAAAGAAGTTTAAACCTATCTATGATATCATATTTAATGGTCGTTATGCCAGCAGACTTCTCAATTTCATGGCCTCTTGTGTAGACCTATATCTGTGATTACGTTATATTTACGTTACAACGCACTGGGCGCATGTTTAATTGGTGTATTTAATATGTGTATTTCTGTAAATGGTGTGCACAGTGCATCTCAGGATATCCCCGGATCTCCATGCTTGTCACGTGAGCTGACTAATTCGGATCGGATGGTTACAATGTGTGACCTCGCTGATTGTGCATCAGCGTGACCCCACGACAAAGGTCGTTGCTCATGGAGCAAATCAGTTGTTTGGGGACTGTCGTGATATAGCTGGAACATCGCTGACTACAGCGTTAAACAACATTCACTCACGCATCTGTGTGTGCGTGCGTGCAGCCTCTGATCTTCGTGGCGGGGTATAAGGAACTTATTCTCCCGCTCAGATATGTCTTTCCTTCCTGGGCGGGATAAATAGTATTTTATCACGATCACGTGAACCAATCAGATCTCATCATCATCACATGAAGGTAAGATGACAATGAGTGATGGTGGCTAAAATGAATTCAAACAAGCAAGAAATGGGTATTCGATGTTGATGTATTTGAGACGGGTATCATAGTTAAGTTTTATTGTCTCAAACGCAAATGAAAAGTGAAGTCCCTGTCAAAAAAGTGAAATTAGAAAATAGAACAGAAAAAATTACAGTTAAGGAAAGTGGTAAATGACAGATGAGAGTTGAACGAGCTGATGTCACTATGCGTCACAAATGGACTTATGTAGATTTCTTTATATATTTATTCCCCCAAGACCACCAACGAGACGTCAAAACTGTACACCAATACACACAGTCTGTCACAACCAACTACAAGCTGCATGCACAACCATGGGGTCTACCGTCTCGACATTTCATTTTATATTGAGTATAAGGCTGTAAATAATATCAGTAATTTCGTCCGCTAACTCTGGATTTTAAAGAGGCAGTCGTTCTTTTGTTTTAGCGATCTCGATCTTTTGTAAATAGTCAAATACAATAGCGTGAAAAGTGCTACATGTCAACGATCTGCAATAGGCCGATATCCTCAGACATAATATATCTGAATTAACATACCAGAGACTCTTCAGCCAGCTAAAGACACTCGTCCAGGAGAGTCTCCATTGAAAGATCACCTTCGCCAGGAACTCAAGCAAATTATTGGATGCAGCAGGCTTCTATGCAAGGTTGGGATAAACAAGGAATATTCAGAGACATTCAATTAAATTAATTAATCAGTGCTACTACCAGTGCTAATAAAGAAGTTTTATATATTTATTATTTATTATATATTATATCTACGAGATTACTTTTCTACTTTTCTTGGATCACTCGAGTCTAATACTTATGTAACATAGGGTAGACCAGTCAGTGCCTTCAGCCATGACGTATGTTGTTTCAGGTGTGTTACAAATGGGACGTCTAACTAATGGGAGGATACCCTGAAATGCCGTTCACAGCACAAAGAATCAACAAGCAACATTCCCTACTGTTTCTTTTGTACCCATGTGTGTACCGAATGTTTCTTCGCTATTTCTTCCAAGTCGGATATATTTTGTCGCAGCAATGCCCGCCCAAATCACGCCATTTGTGTTGAAATAAGGTTAATGTACATTAAAGGCAGCTTTTGCCGTCACTCCCTTGCGGAATTAAACGAGACACACAGAGAGAGAGAGTGTGTGTGTGTGTGTGTGTGTGTGTGTGTGTGTGTGTGTGTGTGTGTGTGTGTGTGTGTGTGTGTGTGTGTGTGTGTGTGCGTGTTCAGTACAAGATAGACCTGCATTCTGTGTGAATTTTCTGCTCTTCCGTTCATGTATTCAGTTTTGGATCAGAATATCAAATGTATCATCGCGGTATATTGAGGTCCCCTGGCCCGGTGGGACGATATGGACACTTCGACGGGCTTTGATAACCGCCCATTACGTTTTGAAAGTAAATCAATACATGTAAAAACTCAACGCAAAAGAATAATCAGTCTCGATTATCTGCCGAATAATATTCCATTGGGCGTAAAGGACACCAAGTGTTCGCGAAAGGGTTAACAAGTCCTGCTATACCTGGGGAAAGAAATACCAGGATATCCTGACAGGTTCGTTACCTCTGTAGTCAAACGCTATAACTATTGCTACACGATCTGACTCCATAACTAAACGTCCCCAGAATCATATAACCCAACATGCCGTTGTATGCAAGAAATAGATAATGAGAAGAAATCGATGAACTATGGATATTAGTTCCGCCAATATGACATTAATCAATCAATGCCCTGCTGGAGCAGTGCATAAAACCAGTGTTTACTATCAATTTGTTTAGGCCAGGGTTACGCCAAGGGTTAGTCTCTCTGTCCAGGGTATTCCCCACGTGACTTGAATCTGAGAACCGGGTCTAAACCTGCAGACTTGGTTCCTTGACATCATTTGTTGGTTTGATTGATTGAGCATGGCTTTACGCCGCTTTTAGCAATGTTCCAGCAGTATCACTGCGGGGGACACCGGAAATTGGCCTCACACATTGTACCCATTGGGGAATGGAACCCGGGCCTTCGACGTGGCGAGCGTACGCTGTAACCCCTAAGCTACCCCACCACCCCTTATTTGTTGGGGTTACTTCCGACGAAGAAGATCTCTTTAGGGGTCAGAAAACAAAGCGGCTGGAATGCAGGGGGACGTGTTCAAACTTCAAGGTCCGGCGATCTCAGAACCACAGGCGGCCATTGTAATTTCAAGCACTAGGTTGATGCTAAAAAGCGAAATGGCAGAAAAATGAAATATATATTTGATGATTTAAGCAAAATGTACACTTCATGCAAATTACAACATATAACCGGAAACATTAAAACAATGGTAACGATAAAAAATTACAGGGCAACTTAAAACCATGTCACGACCTGTCAAGGTTATGTAACATGTCAATCGAGTCGTGCCAATTTACACTTGTCAGAGGGGTACACAATGTACATGATCTAGACCACTAGTTGTCGGACTTCCATTTTGTGGAAGCCTCGATGGCTGAGTGGGTAAGATCGCTGACTTTGTGTGCTGGCAATTAGGTGCCTCACTCTGAGAGTGTGAGTTCGAATCCCGGATGGGACTCACCCCATAAACGTATAAGAATTTGTACTTTACCAGGAAAGTGTTATCCTAAATATAGTATTTGTTACATTTGACCACTTTCTAAAAGGCATTGTGTATTCATGATACCCTGGTGCTCGGCATTAAGGGGCTAAAACAAGGACTGGTCGGCTCGGAGTCAGTATACTGTGTCTGGGGTATTCTTGTCAAACTGAGGGTGCACGGGTGGCCCAGTCGTCTAAGGCGCTGCGATTCACTGTGCAGAGTTGCGTCCCTTGGGCACGCCAGAAACCTATGATTCAGGGTTCGAATCCCGGTTCGCCCCAATTATGTTTGTCAGCACCATACCCGTGCTCGTGGGTTTCACCGAAGTGGTAAACGTCGGAGACCTGCATCACTTCGGGCTTTCCTCCCACATTAAGCTGACACACCGTGATATGACTGTAATAATGTTAAAAGCGGCGTTAAACCCAACTCACTCACTCACTCTTGTCAAACTGCGGCAGGGTATATCAGTGCGATGGCACTACAGAATCCGGACAAGCAGCCACACGCACGCACGCACGCACGCACAGACACATGCACACTCACGCCTTAGCACCCGATCCCGTCATACAAGCACAGTCACCTGTTACGGCAAACATGGGTTGCTAAAGACCTATTCCACCCCTGATCTTCACGGGTGCCTGAGGTTCATGTTTAGACAGATACGCCCGCCTGTGAGTCCACCACCACAAATTAATGTATCAAGATCGACATAACTCGAACACTAAATATTCATTGTATTGATTGAATGGATGTAATCGTATCTGCAGGATCCGTGTATACTTTTGATTTACAAAATATAGAATAATGTTTGTTTTGAAATGTAATACACGTTTATATCCAAATTTCTATAAATATCAGCATTTCAGTTGGGTTCATAGACAATAATGAACGGGGGTTAAACCTTTCCTAGAAATTCACTTCACTGTTTTCTTAGAAAAGGCGTGCCCAGAAATCAATGGCTGGAATAGTTGGACGCGTGCGTTGTTCACCACCTGGAGCGGGGAGACTTCTTGCCGCTCCCCCACTTGACAGAGACCCCCTTGTGCTCGACAGCCTGTGTTAACATGGTAACCGAGCTGGTTACAACAAACTACGACGGCCTTTGATCGCTGGTGGAGGTTTTATTATCCAACCTGCCGGTGTTTGCCGAAGCAACTAGATATTTTGAGCAATCGGGTTAAACAATTCAAACAATTTTTTTCATGACTACGAGACCGCACAGGACAGTGAGCGACTACAATGTGACTTTACGTCGTCGCTCATGAGACTACATTTCAGTCCATTTTAGTGTTGAGGTTTTGATTCACAAAGGCAGCTACCTCTATTGCTCTCGTTCTCTAATAATGAGGGGGCGGTCGGGTAGCCTAGTGGTTAAAGCGTTCGCTCGTCACGCCGAAGACCCGGGTTCGATTCCCGACATGGGTACAATGTGTGAAGCCCATTTCTGGTGTCCCCCGCCGTGATATTGCTGGAATATTGCTAAAAGCGGCGTAAAACCATACTCACTCACTCACTCTAATAATGAGCGAGTGAGTGAGTATGGTTTTACGCCGCTTCTCTAGCAATATTCCAGCAATATCACGGCGGAGGACACCAGAAATGGGCTTCACACAAGGCACTCATATGTGGTGAATCGAACCCGGGTCTTCGGCGTGACGAGCGAACGCTTTAACCACTAGGCTACCCCGCCGCCCCTCACTACTAATGCTGTCACGTTATTCATAACACAAATACACAGGGCGGGCTAGAATAGACCAACATGCGCTGGTTCTAAGGGGTGACCAAATGGATCGGTGGTCTTCGTACCCCAGTGGCGTGGATCGTTGCTCACAATATCGATCTCTGGGTTG